TTTTTTTTTTTTTTCCAACAGCAAACATTTCTTCACCTTTGTTCTTCATTTGTTATAATTTCTTGACTTTTAAGCATATTGATTCCTTGCACTGGCAGAAAGTCAAAAAGAGAGAAAATGGTAGATCCCTTCTGTCTAGAGACTACCTTCTTTAATTTCTTCCTTCTACTCAATAGTTTTCTTCTTCTTCTTCTCTCATTACAGAAGCAGCTGATGACCAGATATCAATTTCAGTTAAAATTTGATTAATCAAAATTTAAGAATGAATATATACACATATATATATATATATAACAGTGCAAGTTTACAGCACGTGCAGTGGCCTGTGGAAAGAAAAATAGAGAGAGGATCTTGAATTACCTTTTGTCGTGATATAAGGTAGTTTTATGATTTGGGCCAATCGTGAGGTAACTTCATTTAAGAAAGAGGGGTGTGGGGGTGGGGCTGTCCCCCAAACACCACCTGCATCGACTCGTCTTGTCCAACACAAGTACTATGCACATTCATTCACCGACCTATATTTCACTTATAGATTCAATGTAGAATTTACTACTCACAATTAATTAAATTTACCCTCAAGTTAGAAATCTCATCCCATTCAAACAAACACACATACATATATATATTCTCTCCCTTCTACGTACGTTATTTGTTGTTATATATATGGTTTCTAATTAAATTAAAGCCTAGCTAATTTTTTCTAATAGTGTATACGGAAGTGCATCATTTCTCCCTCATCTTTAGCAGGTCCAACTCTCCCATCTACTGTTCTACAAAAAGGCCCTACCACATGCTGTTTCTGCACCTTTTATTTCCGTCTGATGATCTGACTTGATCAGATCGACATTTCGAGGGTGATGATCTGAAGTGATCCGAATGCAGAAGCAGCAGGGTGTATATATTAAGGTTTCTGTTTTAGCAAGTTTCTTAATTTTACAGGTATAGCAGGTAGCACACTATATATATATATATATATATGTATATGTATTATATTTATTCATGAAATAGTTTATTAGGGTGTCTTAATTAGTCATTTAACGATTAGGATTATGGGTAGATACATAGTTACATACCATCCCTTGTAACATTGTTAATGGACACATTATTTTTCTACAATGATGATGATGATGAAGATGCTCGTCACAGTGTCATGGGAACCAAGTGGATGATGACGAGAGTGGCAAAATCCAAATTTCTAATTAAATGGATCTGATGACTGTTATATGGGACCAAACTGGTATAAACAAAAACAATAATTACGAATTTTAAAAGAAAATAAATTGTTTTGATTCTTAATGTTTTCAATTTAATCAATAAAACTATATTACTCTAGGCATCGCATACCTCTTCAATGATGATTCATTTTTTAGTCACATTAAATATTTGTTTTTTAAATATTTACATTCACGTTCATTGATGTACAAAAAGGTAGCACATCCATATATTGGGATTAATTATAGTTATATTTAACTCATGATTACTTACATACACATACGGCAGGTAATTTTTTCTGAAAGGAAGAAATTGTAGGAGAATTGCAAACACTTGAATTCATTCCAAACGGCATATATATAAAAAAAAAGCATCTATCTATTTTATTTCATAAAGATTATGAGAAAAATATATTAAAATTATGCCATTTTAATTAATTTTTATTGAAAAAATTAAAATACTCATTTTAGTAGTATGAATTAAACTGTGTTTATTCTTATATTTTATTAAAATAATATAATTTTAAAATAATTTTTTTTCCTTATTTTTAAAAAATAATTAAAATACACAAATAAACACTAACTCTTATATATATATCCTAAAAGGATCGTCTGAATTGATTTGTACTTTCTGCTCCCAACCATTAATTACATGTATGTCCTAATAATCTCTCAGTTGGTTATATGACAAAAAAATGCTAACCGTTTGGATATTCAAACAAATGACTATTATTAACTCGTAAAACAATTCACATATTTGATATCTCGGTTTGCAAGAGGATGAACAAGTATGTAACTAGTAGTGCTAAAGTAAGTGGACAAAGCAGGAACGCCAAAAGCCAAGATGAAAAAGGCAAAAACTATATGTTAAGTTTCTAAACTAATTCTAGATTTATTATTAAGCCCTCAAATTTTAATTAATATATATATCCTTAAACTCTATAATTTGAGTAATTTAACCCTTAATTCTTTAATTACAATAAGAATAAGGGTTAAATTTTAATTGCTCAAATCATGAAATTTTAAAACTTATATGCATCAATTAAAGTTTAGTAGCTCAATAGTAAATTTGGGATTAGTTCAAGTACTTAACATATGGTTTTGCCAATGAAAAAGAAGAAGCAAAATATGGGTGAAAGTGGGTCCCCATCTAGTTCGACGGGAGGATTGTTGATGCTGTCTGTGTTTCCTCTTCCTCTCCCTTCATTTTTACGGTATCTATTTATTTTCTCTCTTTTCTTTCTTTCCTCGTTTTTATTTTATTTTATTTTATAGTCAGGACTCATATTGAAATTATTATTATTATTATTTTACCAATTTTAATGGTGCACCGTTTACGCCTATATTGGAAGTAAAAAGCTACTGCCTTAAAATTTGAAAAACTAAATAAAATTAGTATTTTTAAAAGACAATATTACAGTAATAATTATTAAACAAAATTAATATTTTAAAAGATAATATAATTTACTGTGGGTCATCACCATGACCATGCAGTGGGCTCTGGGTCCACATGATTAAATGATCATTCGCTCAATATTCGAGTTTCAAGAGCAGCATGTCCTTTCTTTTCTCGAGCCGAGTGCCACAATCACACTCGACAAAAAGGGGCATTGTAGGGTTTTGACATGACTACAATTTTCCGGACTATTATAGGGTCCAATGGGCCTGATCTATGGGGTGTTTTAAATTTTTAATAACTGAAATCAAGGGCCATTATCATGTGGACCCTTCCCGTCTTTCTCCTCGATGGAGCGCAGGTAAAAGGTTGGGCCACAAATTGATTACAATGCCATACGTCAATGGCACGAGCTTCCACTCTGTTCAATAAAATTTCATCATCAATGAACCCTAGGCAATCAGAAAAAACCTATCCACAGTTCCACACACACAGATAAATCAAAACTGAAAAAAAAAATAAAAAAAGGAGGGTTTTTCTAATTTTATAATATATTTGATTTAAGGAGGATAGAGGGAAAAAAGAAAAAAAATTTAATCAATCAAATTATAATATTTAAAAAATATTATAATTTAATTAAGTAAAAAACTTTTTCACCTAGATATAAAGTTAAACTACAATTAGTACACCTTTTATCACTAATTAGTATTAAAAATGACGAAAATTAAACATTAATTTTATTACGCAGATCATTTTAGTTAAACAATTATTTGAATCCGAAGGGTGCAAAATTACCAGAGCAGAAAATTCACCATTCCCCAAGAAGTTGCAGTGGTGGGGTTGAAGAGGAGTAAAGATAC